CTTCTTCTCACTTTCAAAGCAATTTTTCCCCTCCTTACCTACTTGACCTCAGATACTCCTCTTCGCTACACCTCCACGTACCCTCTGCCCATCTCTCCACCATGGGGAGCAGGGCCTTCACCTGCTCAGCCCCTCACCTCTGGAACTCTCTACCGCCAGACCTATGAAACACCACCTCTCTTTCTCTGTTCAGGAGACTTCTTTGAAAACACATCTCTAACATTGTTTTATGTATTTTATATTCTTTATGTAATTAATATATTTCAATTTATTCATGTTGGTCTTTACACCGTGTTTGTTTTTACACAAGTTTATCATATATGTTTCTTGCTGTAAAGTGTCCTTCGATGTCCTGAAAGGCACTTTTTGTAAGAGTACTACCTACTGCTGCTCCTCTCTCCAAGATGGCCGCTAATTGCCACCAGCTGTCAGCCATCTCCCTGATGAGGTCTCGACTACTTAAGGCAGCAGTCGAGTTCTACTCTTCGCTGGAGCATTGTGCTTCCCATGGTATTTATGCCTCCAGCCCGTCCTTTTGATGTATATAGAGTTATTTACCTTGTTCTCTGTGTTCCCAGTCGTCCAGCCTCCTCGGATACCTTCAGGTCCTGGTCTGCCTCGGTTCTGTTCCTCATCCTCGCGCCTGGCCCTCCAACCACTTGCCTGCCGTGCCGCTTCACCTCTCTCTGGAACCATTTGGATTCACCTCGACGCTCTACCTAAACATCAAACCTGTAAGAGAAAAATAAAGCACTATCAAGCTGCGAGATTCGACCCTCACTCCAACTCACCTGACCTCCTTCTTGTTTCCCAGGGACTCCAGAGGACCACTTGTAAATATTCAATTGTACATAATAAACACTGTTAAAGATTTTACCTTGTGGAGTCTTGTCTCGTTCCGGGTCTCGTACCAATCTGGGTTCCCTGAAATTTTTTTTTTCATTTAGCCTTTATTTATACAGGTTAGTCTCATTGAGACACGAGAACTCATTTTCAAGAGAGACCTGTTTAGGGAGCACATGGTGGGGGAAATCATTACACTTTTTAAATAAAATGATGGTAACACTTTACAATAAGTACACAAAATTTGATTAACTACTAGAGAACGCCTCGTGATTGAATCAGGAACAAATCAGGAGTTAATAGGTAGTTAACCAGTACTTACTGGGGAACACACAGCCCAGCCTTATTAGGGAACTATTGGTTAGTTACCTGTGAAACAAAGAAGAGCTAATCAGGAACTAATGTAGTTAACATGGAAACCAAAAAGAAACTAATCAGGAGCTAATGAGTAGTTAACCAGTACTTACTGGGGAACACACAGCCAAGCCTTATTAAGAGATTACTTGTTAGTTACCTTGTAAATGAAAAGGAACTAATCAAGAACTTATGGGTAGTTACCAAGGAAACTAAAGAGAAAGAAATCAGGAGCTAATGGGTAATAAAATCAGTAATCACTAGGAAACAGGTTTTTGACAATTATGAGCCATGACCTCACTGGTGCAGGGTTTATTCAGAACCCACATGGAGAATTTCTCCTCTGTGTCTGTGGTAACAAACCAGTAGTCCCCTAATAAGGCTTGGCTATGTGTTCCCCAATAAATACTGGTTAAATACCCATTAGCTTCTGATTCGTTCCAATTTGGTTTCCTTGGCAACTACCCATTAGTTCTTCATTAGTTCCTCTTCATTTACAAGGTAACTAACCAGTAGTCATTTAATAAGACTTGGCTGTGTGTTCCCCAGTAAGTACTGGTTAACTACCCATTAACTCCTGATTTGTTCCTAAGCCGTTCCTTAGTAGTTAAGCAAAGTTTGTGTACCTTATTGTAAAGTGTTACCAAACTGATGTTGATAATGATTTATTATTATTATTATTATTATTATTATTATTATTATTATTATTATTCATCCATTTTCTTTACCCGCTTATTCCATTTTGGGTCATGGGGGTCGCTGGTGCCCATGTCCAGCAATCACTGTGCGAGGGGCGGGGTACACCCTGGACGGGTCGCAAGTCCATCACAGGGACACATAGAGACAAACAAGACAAACAACCATTCACTCTCTCACTCACACCTAGGGACAATTTAGAGTTACCAATCAGCCTAACATGCATGTTTTTTGGTCTGTGGGAGGAAACCGGAGTACCCGGAGAAAACCCACGCATGCACGGAGAGAACATGCAAACTCCACCCAGAAAGGCCCCTGGACCGGGGTTTGAACTAAGGACCTGCTCGCTGAGAGGCATCAGCTCTACCAGTTGCGCCACCGTGCTGCATTATTATTATTATTATTAATAATAAATAATATTATTATTAGACAGTGATTACTAGACATGGGCACCGGCGGCCCCCGTGACCCAAAATGGAAGAAGCGGGTAAAAGATAATGGATGGATGGATTATTATCATTATTATTATAAGGCTCACTGTCGATTTTTGAGAAAATTAAAGTATTTTAAGTGCGCCTTATAGTCTGAATAGTAGGGTAAGCTAAAATTTGCTCTAATAAAAGCTAACAGTTATTTATCACACATACTGTAAGCGATAACATATCAGATCTGAGATGTTATCACAGTTAGGAGTGGGCATAATGTAAATTTTATTTTTGTTTCTCAATACAAGTTTATTTCAGATGTAAAAATTCTGGCATTCCTTCATTGACGCTAGGCCTTTGTTGATAGTTTAAAAAAAATCTAATTGAATTGAAATAACTGCAGCTTTTAAGTACAAAGTAAAATTTCTCCCATAATGAGCAAAATGTTTTCCTAGTCACGAAATTTTCTTCCACCAAGTAAAAAAAAAAAAAAGGATCAAGCTGAGATTTTACTTTCAGGGAATTTATTAGTATTTTTTAAATAAAAAAATCAATTTCTTCAATTTCCAGCCAACTTGTTAGCACAAGACAGAAACGTTGTTTACCTGCTTGCCTTACAGGTAGTGTGTTCTGTTCTGATAAAAGCGCTGATGAAGAAGAGCTGTCAAATAAAAACACCAAAGAAAAGTTGCAAAAAGACTTTAATCTGCATCATTTTAATCATTCTTGGTTTAATTTACACTTTATTAATTCATGTCAAAGGTAAACACATCTTGTGGTTCTCTTAAATGTCGGTAAATGCTTTTTGTCCTCATCTCGAGTCCCTTTATTAAAAAAAAAACAAACAAGACAGAAGAGCACATTCTCTCAGACACGCTTGCATATTCAGATCCTACAAATGACTCCATAACGAGTACAAAATCTAAATGCCACATACTTGAAAAGCGCGGACAAACACTTTCCACACACACACACGCGTACAAATGTGTTTCACGCTTCCGCTCACTCCCACAAACATACACTCACAAAAACACTCCTGCTTGTGCACACCCATACACATTCCATAAAATTCACATTACAATGCAGACCTCCTGGTTTTGCCCAACCGCTCGGGGTTCTTTTGTGGCTCGTCATCGCATGCTGTTCAGCAACATTATCGGCCTATATTTAACACGAGACTGTGCTCGCTGACCTTCCTACTGACTGGTCAGAACCAGCATCTCAGTGTGACGAGCTGAATCACGTCTACTTGTCTACACGAGCAAAATGCTGCAGTAAAAATTCCACAGTTTGAAAAAAAAAAATGGCACAATAGCTTATAGAGCAAAGGCCTACGAATGCACATCAATAAATAAGGTAGATAAATACTTTACTGTTTAAATAAAAACATTTAAAATGAAATTTTAAAGCACAACGTTGTAGTTTAGGTAACACTTGCCTACAATGTGTCAGATTACGATATAAAAAAAGTGTTCTTATCTTCACATTCACACGTGTTTGCTGTTTTTTTGTTCTCTTGTACGTTGGAGTTTTTAACAAAATGGCGGCAGCGTTACTTCGAGACGCAAAGTACAATTTCTTCTCAGGCACCTGCCGCGCTTTGGCGACTGTAGCGATGGCCGTCAGCCCTGATTGGCTGCGCACCTGTGGAGTGGGAAAAAGGAGCAGACACGGTTGCCAGTTGTTTTTTTTTTTTTAAGAACATTGTAAGGTGAGGGGGCAGACTTGCTGCTGATGGAGGGTTTTGAAGAAATTAGAGGCGTTTTTGAATGACTACTGATTGCTGCAAGCAGTTTTTTTTTTTTTTTTTTCCATTTCTCTCGTTTTTTTAAAGCTTGACATCTGGAAAAATCTACGAAGGTAAATGCACCGGAACAAAACACACGTCTACTGCGTCTAAGTGCCGTCAGATTACTAGTCCAGGTCTGTATTTTTCTAGGGTTGTTACAGTGTGAAGGCAGGAAATGCAGACAAAGGATTAGTTCTGATAGGGCACTCACTACCCTCTGAAGAAAGCAGCCGTCACAAAGCCAGGGGTATTTTTGATGTCTGGAGAAAATGGATTAGTAAAAGGCCCACAGATACAAATTCTTACCCTTTTTTGGGGGGGCTTTTATTACCAGCAGCTACCACACACCAGTGTGAAAACATTCTACAGTGTCCCAGACAATGGCAGCAGTTCTTTATTATTCACTCATTATGTAAATGCCCCGGTACAGTTCCAGAGTCCATCTTACTTTTACATCAAAGTTGGGTTTAATGCGTCACCACGCTGGGATCCTTAAAAAATAAGAATCCACTGCAGAGTTCAGAGCCGCCATCTTCTTCAAAGCTTGTGCTGCTTTCATCCGCTGACCGTGTTTTGTTTCTTCTATCCATGCTACAAAAAGAGTGTTTAGGGTTTCATGTCAGTCGGGAGAGCAGCACCAAGGTCTGATTGTGAGTGTTGGTTGTGATCTCCGTGTGGCCGTCACACCTGCACGACGCGTTGTGCTACTTGATGATGTCTAGCAGCAATCAGCACACGCAGGTGTCGATGACAGCAAAAAGGCCTCTTTTTGTTTTTGTAAGTTTGCTCGTTAATCTTTTTTGTCTTCGTCGCCGAGTTGTATTTCACCTCATCGAACACTTGGTGGACGCGAAGCCCTTTTGGACGAGGCGGTCACCGCTCCGTGACGGTCGCTAGGACAAAAGGACGGCAGATACGAGCAGCATGGCCACAGTGAGAAGAAGGCGGTCGCGTGATGGGCTGCTGCCACTGACGCTTTTCTCCAGCTTGGGAACCTCGGGGTTAAACTCATCTGTATGGAACAAAGAAAAGGCACGCAGAAAACAAACCATTACTACATTAATACTTTATCAATCAGTGTGTGATGCATGCAAATTGTGCTTTAAATATGCAGAAAAGAGACTTTTCGCATTTATCAACAACCCTCTAATTATCATCAGTTACATATGGTCTTCCCCCTGCGGGAGAGAGAATTAAAAACACAGTTGTTTCTAATCTGTTTTTTAAATTTATTTATTTCTGCACTAATGATGTTTTTTGTCCTGAAGGGATTTCAATCAAACCAAATTACTGTGTCCTCACAACTGATTTGACAAAACAGAAGCTTAGCTTTAAGGGAAAGACGAAGAAAGAGCTCGAACACATTGAATAATATTCACTAGAAGTGGATTACAGAATCGTTATGCTCATTCTCCACCAAATTCATATTATGGCAACAATATTCTAAAATAGAGCAAAAGGAACCAAATAAATCTCGTTAGTACATTTCTGTGTCCCTCAATGAACCAACAGCATCTTGTCAAAAACAACAACAACAACAACAAAAAAAAAAACAACATAAAATATAAAGTGTCAGACTTAAAATGGTCTTCAAGGGCTTAATGCTTGTGAGAGTTCTGCTCTGCAGCCACATGAGCAGCACCTGAGGATCATCGGTTTGATGAGCAAGAGGAGCATAAAGGGCTGCAGAGGACATCCAGTCCACGCTGCAGCATTACCTGCCAATGTAAATAATCCATGATGTCCACCTTAATTTCTTTAAGGGGTTTCAAACATTTGATAATAACAGAAAAATTGAAGCAAATATGTTCTTGTTTTTAGTATTTCGCCCTGATTTATTGTTTTATACACTACTCTTCTTTTAAATGCATTTTTACTGTAGTTTATTGTTGTCATTGTTTACGGTTATTATTGTCTGTACTTTATATGTTCTGTCTGGAACAGGCCCCTCTTGTAAATGAGTCCTCTTGCCTCAATGAGGCTAGCTTGTATAAATAAAGGTTGAATGACTTAATGTCCTCCTGTCCCCTGGATTCGTTTTTCCTGTGCCTCCTCAGCTACCTCCACTCCTTCCTACCACTTGCTTGTCTCCTGTCATTGTTCAGATGAACACCTTCCCCTGCGCCATTTGGGTCAGCTCTCCCCACTACTGACTCCTATATCTACTGGTTCCAGCTCCTTCCCTGGCTCATTGAATGATTTATCACCTAGTAAATAAACACTGTAAATACATTTTGTGTCTTGGTATCTGTTCTCCTCAGTCCTTGTATCTAGGGTATGGCTGCAATGCAATCGTTACAATGCTTAAAGGTATTCACTGTAATGTCATGAAGACAGATAAAAAAAATTTATCATACAAATGAAGACAAACATTTAAGGAAATCGCTACATTGCATGCAGTGTTTCCCCAAGGTCACTTCCCTTGGCAGTGCGCTCATCTCTTTTGGGGGTGGGGGTGTTTGTTCACGGGGCAAGGGATGGAGTGGGAGACACTTCTTTGTGCAATAGCTTAGCGCTACTTTAGTGCTGGCAACTGTTTACCGGGGTGGATGGGTGGGTGGGGTTAGGATGCATGAGAGATGCAGCGTGCTATGTCTGTAGAATCTTAGCTAGAGCGTCTGTATTAAGCGCCGCTAGCTTAGCACTATTAGCATGCTCTGTTCACACAAGGGGAACTGTTGGTCAGGCTACTTCTTGTTGTGCAGTGCTCTCCAAAATAGTTATTGAATCAAGTGTCTGCATGTGTAGGTAAATGTAGATGTTTAACAACCTGTTAAAATAGATGCTTGTAAATCAAACTTTATATATTTTACTTTTGAAATAAAGTTGTTTGCAATAAGAAAAAAACTGTCTGGGAAGGGTTTTTAGACAACGGAAGCACAAACTGTCTGCAGAAACACAAACAAGCGAGGTGATAACAGAGAGAACGATAAACTCACAAACTATTTCATGAATGTGTAGAATTTCGCTCAGGGAGCAAATGGTTCTGCTGTTCTGGTCGACTGACGTCCACGTCACACTTGTTCTTTAGAACCACAGTGCATCTGATTTGCAGTCACACTGCAGACACAACAGGAACATCTCAAACATTTAGAACTACATGAAGCTGCGCATTCACCAGAAAGAGACAAGACGCCCGGACGCTCAACTCACTATCTGCTTTTAATGTAATGAACTAATTCTTCCAGACTTGTTTGCAGGTAGAAGTTCTCCAAGCTGCACAAACAAGCATCTCGTGTTCCATTTTAAAGAAAGCTTCTCTTGGAGAACAAATGCGTGGGAAGTAAGGGTTGCTACACGCCTCAGGCTGTAACAAAGTATCAAAAGGTCTACAGCATGGCATTGAATACCACAGCACACATTTTGGATTTAGCAATCAATTTCCTGTATATTCTTGTATATATGAAGCACAACAGAAGACACGCAGGGCAGCTCCCGTGTCTGCAGCAAACCACCCGAAGCATTTACAGCCAGATAAGAAACATCAGCTCCAGACTGTCGATAAGTGAGAAAGGTTGTCTGGTCTGACAAATCCTCACGTCAGCTGCCAACACAGTGATAGGAGAAGTACAGTGAGCGATAAACATCATGACATAATTTAGGAAGTGTTGTGGTTATTGTTTCTTTTAAGTACTGGAAGGCACCACATTTAGTCCCACTTGAAGCAGATTCAGTGATTTAACTGGATCATGAAGACGGGCTGAGTGGAAATTTGAAACAAGAGTTTCATTTGCATGTCTGATTATATGTTGACATCGATGTGACATTTCAAGTTATCTTGACAGAAATCAGCACGACTGACTTTTATTATCAGAAAGCTCTCCCTCCGCCCAACAAAGGCTAAAATGAGGCTATGAGTTTTGTAGATTTATCCTGCTCTATTGTTAGCTTGCCACAAATGAGACGGAGACGCTTCAGCTCTTCTGGTCTCTGAGTTCACTGAGTTCACAGCTTGCGTACATTACCATACAAGTTTTTTTTCTTGCTCGGTGCACAACATTTTCTAACAGATTCTCAGAAATCTGCACACAAAACAAAACACAAACGGATGCAAAACACACATTTAGACAAATTTACGGTAATCTCACATGTTTAATCTTGATGAGCAGCAGCCTCATGTCTGCAGCCACTACAGGTTTGCAGCAAAGGAAAGAACGCACCAGGTGTGCAAAAGTTTTTACTTTTGAAAAAAAAAAAAAGCCAACAACAACTAAATGATAAATTAAAGTGGTAAAAAGTGGAATTAATGGTGGGGTTTTTTTCATAACCCATGTCCTCCGTTCATAGTTCATGATCAAAACCGCTACAAGCACAAAAAACTTAGGAGGGCTTAGAAAGTAAAATAGCAAATCTAATAATTTCATAAACTATTTCTGTTTGTTTTATGTAGAGGATTTGCCAATGTTAATTGTAGATATGTAGAAATGCTTTTAATGGTGCAAAAATAAGTAATTAGACAATCAACAGACTGTTAACATGCAGTGTTTATTGAAAGTGATGAGAGCACTGCGCTCACGAGTATCAGCATCTTTTTCACAAGTAGGATGAATGCTTAAAGTGGACGGCCTGGGAAGGATTTTTATTATCCTCTTGAGCTTCTTTCCCAAGTAATGTGGTCTGACTGTGATTTTTTTAATTTCATATTAAGGTTAATATTTCTGTAATCTTCTTTTCCTTTCATATGTCGTTTCCCCCCCTTTTTTTGCTGTAAAAGGTCAAAGGTCACAATAAAGAACAAAGATGCTCTTTTCAATTTAAGGCTTTTCTCCTAAATTTTCTGGAGACATGTTCTTTGTAGCTTGTCTTCCTTTATTTAACTAAGAAAATAGCAAATAATACATGCTGGTTCTGACCATAAAGAACAGAATGGGTGTTTACCTAAACAAAAGACAAAAGTTGATGTGGAACTTTTGTTATTTGGAGTTTGACTTTTATAACAATAAAATGTGTAAACCATTACTTTTGGAGTTAACCCACTTAAAGATGGCTGCCACCACTAATCAGCCTTAATTTACACAATAAATGGCTTCACATAAATTAACTTTACAGATAACGAGCTAACATTTGGTGTGGTAGTAGTTCAGTAATTCACAAAACAACTGGGCCTTTTTTTAAATCTTGAAATTTCTTGCAGTTTTGTCTCGTTTAAAAAAAAATAAAAAAATAAAACTTTATTCATTCAAAAGGGAAATTAATTGTTGTAGCTCATCCTGGTATCAGAGTTGTTATAGATGCTAATGGCTGAGGGCAGGAAGGATCTCTTGTAGCAGTCTGTAGCGGATCCAAAAAAAACTGGTTGCAGATGCCAATCCGTCCACCAAGACCCAGCAGACCTCTCAGTCCTCTTGGGTAGCAGGACCACCTGAATGCCAGGAAGATCTCCTCCCCGAGTGATGGTCATTCCTCTCAGCAGCCTCCTCGTCGCCGCAGACAAAACTGCAGGTGCCTGGGGATGATCTCGGTCCTCCCGCTGTCATGAGCCACATTTCCCGCCACCTTCAAGATCTCGGCGGTCAGGCTCTTGAGCACTGCCTCCAGGTAGAGGGGAATGCATCCATGGCACCTCCTTTTTAACTCATTTAGGATTTGGGAGCTGTAGTTGAGGTACTATTTGAACTTTTGAGATATTAATTCGCAGCTTCCCGTTGTAGAAAGCCACCTTGTTGTTATGGTTATGGATCATAACAAATGTCCGAAAGTAAAAAGATTTCAGTAAAAATCCTTCCAGCTGCACAGCCTCTGACACCAGAGGAAATAAACATCCCAAAAAAGTGATTTACAGCCAGAAAAAATGAGTAAAGTTTTCAAAAACAAAATCTCAGAATGAATTTAAGAGAGCTACTCCAACATGCAGTAACCTTGACAGGCGCAATAAAATGATAATTCAAATAATTTAAGGTGAGTTTTTGAGAGAGAGGTTACAAAAAATATTTTCTAATTGTTTGAATAAGTCAGTTTAGAGAAAATAAGATTAGTTATGACCGAAATGATGAGTTATTGGCTGGTCTGAGT